GCACTAAGCACAGAAACGGGAGAGACGAGAAACTGCGACACCGTTGGCAGAAGGAAGAATGGAGAGAAATATGTGGAAATAATACCATAAATAACACCATATGTGGTAAATTGTACAGCTAATATAATACAACACATTAGTTGTATTTCCTTTAACTGGTGGATTATGGATATATAGTTGCTGATCGACAGCTGGAACACAAACCACCAAATACAACAAAATAATTCAGATCCAGTCGTCATGACTCCACTCCGGAGGGATTCCCCGATCATTTCTTACAGTTTCTTATCATGGGGGTGTCTCCTGTCCCCGGTACAAACACACTGCCTGAGGAAGGTTATGTACGGTGGCCCGGAAGTGCAAGACACCACAGCATTTCACAAAACACCACAGCATTTCAGAAAACACAACAGCATTTCACAAAACACCACAGCATTTCAGAAAACGCTACAGCATTTCAGAAAACGCTACACCATTTCAGAAAACACAACAGCATTTCAGAAAACACCACAGCATTTCACAAAACGCCGCAGCATTTCAGAAAACACAACAGCATTTCACAAAACGCCGCAGCATTTCAGAAAACACAACAGCATTTCACAAAACGCCGCAGCATTTCAGAAAACACAACAGCATTTCACAAAACGCCGCAGCATTTCAGAAAACACCACAGCATTTCAGAAAACACAACAGCATTTCAGAAAACACAACAGCATTTCACAAAACGCCGCAGCATTTCAGAAAACGCCGCAGCATTTCAGAAAACACAACAGCATTTCAGAAAACACGACAGCATTTCACAAAACGCCGCAGCATTTCAGAAAACACCACAGCATTTCAGAAAACACCACAGCATTTCAGAAAACACAACAGCATTTCACATTGGACGGAAAGGGTATTCCTTTAGGGAGAACGCTTCTTGTTTGTGATTGGACAGAGCCAGCCAGAGAAGCACTGCTGTGATTGGTTGTTTTTGCTGCCAGTCAAGAAATGACGCTTCGTGATTGGTCAGCACCCGAGCGCAACATGTCCCAACACATCAACCGTTAGCTGTTAGCACACACTCAGAGCTCACAGCTCCTCATATCTGTTCAGAAACTGGACAAGTACAAACCACAGACTGTCTATGTCATGGCGAATACAGTCGCTGCTTTATTTATGTCTGTATGACGCTGTTGTGAGTGTGGACGGAGCAGCTACAGGTTAGTTTAGCCTGATCGATCCGCCCCCTCTCCAGCACGTCTTGTTTGAATGACAGGAGTAAACACTGACAGCTGCGGTGAAACTCGACAACAAAATGAACATATTGACCGTGATTTAATTGTAATACACGTTTCAAAGTGATGCCGAAGTAACTACATACTGATACCGGTTAGTAAAAACCGTGAATTAATGCTTTGACAAGTCTGCAGACAAGACGGCAGGCGAAAAGCTTTTAAAATGCATGTTTTCTGAATAGAATCGGATCCATCAGGCTAAACTAACCTGTAGCTGCTCCGTCCACACTCACAACAACGTCATACAGACATAAATAAAGCAGCGACTGTATTCGCCATGACATAGACAGTCTGTGGTTTGTACATGTTTAACTTTTGTCCAGTTTCTGAACAGATATGAGGAGCTGTGAGCTCTGAGTGTGTGCTAACAGCTAACGGCTGATGTGTTATATAGCTGTTAGCACACACTCAGAGCTCACAGCTCCTCATATCTGTTCAGAAACTGGACAAAAGTTAAACATGTACAAACCACAGACTGTCTATGTCATGGCGAATACAGTCGCTGCTTTATTTATGTCTGTATGACGTTGTTGTGAGTGTGGACGGAGCAGCTACAGGTTAGTTTAGCCTGATCGATCCGATTCCATTCAGAAAACACGCATTTTAAAAGCTTTTCGCCTGCCGTCTTGTCTGCAGACTTGTCAAAGCATTAATTCATGGTTTTTTACTAACCGGTATCAGTATGTAGTTACTTCGGCATCACTTTGAAACGTGTATTACAATTAAATCACGGTCAATATGTTCATTTTGTTGTAGTTGGTATCTCCCATAGGATTTACATGGAGATACGCCCCGCCCCCTCTCCAGCTCGTCTTGTTTGAATGACAGGAGCAAACACAGCTGACAGCCGCCGTGAAACTAGAGCGATTAGAGCGATGCGAATATTGGGTAGTCTACCATAGTATTTACATGGAGATAAGCCCCTTAAAAACCATGAATTAATAAAGCATTAATTCATGTTTTTTTCGCATCGCTCTAATCGCTCGAGTTTCACCGCAGCTGTCAGTGTTTACTCCTGTCATTCAAACAAGACGTGCTGGAGAGGGGGCGGATCGATCAGGCTAAACTAACCTGTAGCTGCTCCGTCCACACTCACAACAGCATCATACAGACATAAATAAAGCAGCGACTGTATTCGCCATGACATAGACAGTCTGTGGTTTGTACTTGTTTAACTTTTGTCCAGTTTCTGAACAGATATGAGGAGCTGTGAGCTCTGAGTGTGTGCTAACAGCTAACGGTTGATGTGTTTGGACATGTTGCGCTGTCGGGTGCTGACCGATCACGAAGCGTCATTTCTTGACTGGCAGCAAAAACAACCAATCACAGCAGTGCTTCTCTGGCTGGCTCTGTCCAATCACAAACAAGAAGCGTTCTCCCTAAAGGAATACCCTTTCCGTCCAATGTGAAATGCTGCGGCGTTTTGTGAAATGCTGTTGTGTTTTGTGAAATGCTGTTGTGTTTTCTGAAATGCTGCGGCATTTTGTGAAATGCTGCGGCGTTTTCTGAAATGCTGTGGTGTTTTGTGAAATGCTGTGGTGTTTTCTGAAACGCTGCGGCGTTTTGTGAAATGCTGTTGTGTTTTCTGAAATGCTGCGGCGTTTTGTGAAATGCTGTTGTGTTTTCTGAAATGCTGTTGCGTTTTCTGAAATGCTGTAGCGTTTTTTGAAATGCTGCGGCGTTTTCTGAAATGCTGTGGTGTTTTCTGAAATGCTGTTGTGTTTTCTGAAATGCTGTTGTGTTTTCTGAAATGCTGTGGTGTTTTGTGAAATGCTGTTGTGTTTTCTGAAATGCTGTGGTGTTTTGTGAAATGCTGTGGTGTCTTGCACTTCCGGGCCACCGTAGTTATGTGTATTTTTTTTGTCATTAACTTTTTTCGGACCACTTATTTATTTATTTTGGTGATGATACGACCTCCATGCTGCTACTCTGGTTCAAACTGCATCCACCAAACAATATGATTTATCTCGACCTCCCCAAAATAACCAAAATCTGACACGGTGTGAGATGTCTTTTTTAGCTGTTCTATCGTCATTTCCTGCGATCTTCTTCATGCAGTCAGTCAAAATGAATGAATGAATGGGCGTTTCTTTGACTATTTATAGGCAAATATGAGCGTTACGAGTCGATTGTGATTTATAAAGGGAAACAGGCGTAGGAAGTGCCGTACGCACTTTCCTCGCCGGTACGCAATGTCGGAAAATGTCTGTACCTATTTTTTTGCTTTGTACTACATAAGCAACCTTCCCACGTTAATCCTACGCAAGGCATTATACTGTAAATGAGGCCCCTGGGCACCTTTTTGCAGCATTTTGGTTCACAATTTAAACAAATTCTAAAATAATATTTCACCACCTGCTCTACCAAAGATTGACAAGGCATAAGTAAGTTTGACTACTCTTCAGTCAGTTATTGACTTTTATTAATTTCAACAAGACCTTAAATCGCATGTTTGATTACTTAAATTGCTAAAGTAGAACACCTGGGTCACATTCTGCACCACCAATCACAGTATTACTTGTCTTGGTGGATCATGCACTGATTTAGACTACATCACTTCAGTTCATAGGATTTCGAGGCGTAGTCGTGGGGGAGGGGGTCTGCAGTTCGGTGGGCTAAGGATTGCACCACTGCTTTTTGCAGTGGTTCTAATGGCTTCATCACCTTCAGCACTCACTGGATCGGTTCGCAACCGAGTATGAAGCAGCTGGGATGAGGATCAGCACCTCCAAATCTGAGGCCATGGTTCTCAGCAGGAAACCGATGGACTGTCCACTCCAAGTAGGGAATGAGTCCTTACCCCAAGTGAAGGAGTTCAAGTATCTCTGGGTCTTGTTCTCGAGTGAGGGAACAATGGAGCGTGAGATGGGCCGGAGAATCGGAGCAGCACTGCAGTCGCTTTACCGTACCGTTGTGACGAAAAGAGAGCTGAGCCAGAAGGCAAAGCTTTCTGTCTACCGGGCCATTTTCGTTCCTACCCACCTATGGTCATGAAGGATGGGTCATGACCGAAAGAACGAGATTGCGGATACAAGCAGCCGAGATGGGTGTTCTCCGCAGGGTGGCTGGCGTCTCCCTTAGGGATAAGGTAAGAAGTTCAGTCATCCGGGAGGAACTCAGAGTTGAACCGCTCCTCCATCGCGTTGAAAGGAGCCAGTTGAGGTGGTTGGGGCACCTAGTAAGGATGCCACATGGGCGCCTCCCTAGGGAGGTGTTCCAGGTACGTCCAGCTGGGAGGAGACCGAGGGGTAGACCTAGGACCAGGTGGAGGGATTATATCTCTTCGCTGGCCTGGGAGCGCCTTGGGATCTCCCAGTCAGAGCTGGTTGATGTGGCCAGGGAAAGGGAAGTTTGGGGCTCTCTGCTGGAACTGCTACCTCCGCGACCCGACCACGGATAAGCGGGAGAAGATGCATGGATGGATGGATGGACTTCAGTTCATGGTCATGCTAGGTTAATTGATGGTTAAAGCTGTTGTGTTCAGAGCAGTGCAAATCTACACTGCAAACCCCAATAGTACTACTAACTCATAAGTATTATGGGTACTGCAATCAAAACCAAATATCAAGTCAACCGAACAATAAACATATATGTTCTTTTAACGAAAAGTGCTGTTTAATTTAATGTGGATCATAGTTAATGAGTGAATATTCAAATTTGAATTATGAGTGAACAGTCACGCAGCGTCTGACGTCATTACGTCATGACGTTGCGACAAATCGAGAAAAATCCATCCAACATGGCGGCTCTTGCAAGCGAAGGGATTCCACACATGGTTTAACTTGTAAGTACCAAAATAAGTCGTTAAAACTGTTTTTCTTGTTATAATATTGTAAGAATATACCACCCGAAGATCATATGTGATCGTTAGAACCCATTGTTAAATTCAGAGTTACGTGCACAGTGCCGCAGTTACCGGCTGCTTCGCGCTATTTTTTTAATGTCGGACTGCCGGTTAAGTAGTGTAAGGACGTTAACGTTAGAGCAGCAGCATGTTAACTTTAGCTAGAAACTCCTATTAGTCAACGGCAGCCCTACTGTTTAAAAGTGTGTTACTTACTGGTGCTTATTAACGCTATTATCTGGTAAATGTGATGTCATTCCTGAATACTCCGGAATTAAGCTAGTAGCTAGATAGAGCTGTTTTCCACAATTACGTTGATGCTAGTGACAGTAAGCTAATGAAAACGGCAAGCTTGTATTAAAACTCAACACATTTATTTTTGCCATAGGGTGAAGCTGGTGCATAGCAGTGAGACTCCTCAATATTCAAGGTAACTTATTGCTAACCCATACTGTGTTCTGTTTTTTCATTTCATTAATTTAGAACTTTTTTCCAGTAGCTTTATTTATTTAATTAGGTATTCAGAACATTGAACAGAACTGGCCTTTCTACAGTAATCCGATCATCATGCTTTGTTGAAGTTGCATGGTTGAAATGGTTCAATGGAGTGTAAGGACGTTAACGTCAGAGCAGCAGCATGTTAACTTTAGCTAATGACTCCTATCAGTCAACGGCAGCCCTACTGTTTATAAGTGTGTTACTGGTGCTTAATGTTATCCGCTATTATCTGGTAAATGTGATGTTATTCCTGAATTAAGCTAGTAGCTAGCTAGAGCTGTTTTCCACAATTACGTTGAGGCTTACACACAGGCATGTTTGCTAGTGACAGTAAGCTAATGAAAACTGCAAACTTGTATTAAAACTCTGCACATTTCTTTTTGTCGTAGGGTGAAGCTGGTGCATAGCAGTGAGACTCAAGATTCAAGGTAACTTGAACAGAACTGGCCTTTCTACAGATCCGATCATCATGCTTTGTTGAAGTTGCATGGTTGAAATGGTTCAATGGCGTGGAAGTGCAAATTGTGTGCTGTCTCGTCAGACACCCGGGCTCAGTTATTTAGCAATATATTTTTACGGAAACAACAAAACAGGTTGCATCACTAATAATTTTACAGTTGCATATCCATTAATGATCTTTATACATTTGTGTGTTCCCGTAGGTTTGTGCCGAGTTTCACCGAATCACAAACGTCAACCTACGGAACCAGTTATTTTCTGAACTAGACAGACACACCCTGCGACTGATTGCCTTGTACAGGTAGAAGGCGGCACGCACTGGCAAGGTATCTGAGGCCCTGCGTGAAATCCGAAGGATTTGTGATCTCCAGGTGAGTTTAATAGAAGTTTGGTCCAAATCAAGTTTTTCCAATGACAGCCAAGGCTAAATTACTTGATTGGAACACACCATAGTATCAATGCTTATTTACTTTTACACAAAACCACATTCATTCAAATTCACAAATAATAAACAGATATTGTAAAAGATACTGGATTGTATTTTTCAGAAGAGTATCACAAATATAACAATAACAAATAGGGAGAAAAAAAATATTCAAAATTATTAATTGAATTTCACAACAATCAAAATAAATATGTATATATTAATTTAAAAAGCCATTGCTTTTTAATTATGCTAGTTTTTGCTTGTCTTTCCAGGAAGTACAGGATGTCCACATGAAACGCAATGCAGCCCTTCGAGCCCTCCCATTATACCTGCGTGAGGAGAACCCACAGTTCTTCAAGTCTTGGAGCGTAAGTATTTAGTGCACTCAAAGTACTGCGAGTGAGGTCAGAATGAGAAAGAAACTGTTTAGCTATTTTACCCTTCCAGTTAAAAAAAACAAACAGACGGGAGCAATCAAAAATATTTTCAGATATATAAAAGAAAGGTTCACCTAAACACATTTTTGAAATACCTTCCTATATACTTACCTGTTGAGGAATATGTGAATGAGATTGTTTAGTTACTTCAAGTCAACCTTACAGTTGGACTCTATGCATTTCCAGGCAGAGGAGGTGGACCGGCCAGACATCACCAACACACCGGTTGCTATTGTCAGCATGGTCACTCCAAGTCAAGTTGATCTCAGTCCGGCAAGTACTGCTATTCTGGTGGAAGGAGATTTCGTCATCAGCAATATCCCCAGGATGGCGGATTCCTTTGCATTGTTTGGCTTGATGTACGTGTTACATTTGGACTACCCCAAGAAACTCATCAACACTTTCACTTTCATACAGACAATGCTGATGGTCCTTGATGATGGTAAACGACTGAAACCCTGTGCCTACAGTTGTTCATGTTTGCACTTTAACTCCTATGGCACACCGTTTGAGTATTTATTTCATATGCTTGATATCAGACGGCAGCTGCCTACACTAGTTGGCTCTTTGATTGCACTTGTTAGATATATGGTCACACTCGTTTGACATTCTGCTTTACTAGTTGAATAACACATTATACTAGTCACTCTTTTTCAGCCACTAGTGGCACTTTTGTCTGACTAGTTACCACATAAGCCTGACGCCAGGAGCAGCACTTGTAGCACCAAAGTCCCAACTTGTAAGCTTTTTTGATGAACTAGTGACCCTCTGACCGTACTAGTGACACTAAAAGTTAACTGCGCTGCAAAAACTCTGACAAGTTGGGACTTTGGTGCTACTAGTGCTGCTCCTGGCGTCACTAGTAAGGCTTATGTGGTAACAAGTCGGACAAAAGTGCCACTAGTTGCTGAAAAAGAGTGACTAGTATAATGTGTTATTCAACTAGTAAAGCAGAATGTCAAACTAGTGTGACCATATATCTAACAAGTGCAATCAAAGAGCCAACTAGTGTAGGCAGCTGCCGTCTGATATCAAGGATATGGAATAAATACTCAAACGGCTTGCAAAACTTCTTGAAATGTTTCTTTTTACAAAAAGAAAATCTAACTAATTTGTATTAATTTTACTTTTTTGTGAACAATAAGTACCTTTTGAAAAATGTATTTTAATTTCTAATTCATGTTTTGATTGGAAGAACAATTTAAGACTGAATACATTAAAAAAACTAAAGTCTACAGAAGTTGTTGAAGTTCTTTGAGTATTTTGTACTTAAATAAATAAATAAGAAAATATTAGCCAATGAGTTATCTAGAAATATATTTGTTGATTTCAATATTCATGCAATTAAGTACTTTTGCATCAAACTAATTCATTATGGATAAATTAAACATTTAAAATGTGTTAAACAATGTTTATAAGTACAGTATACTTAAATAATAAAAAAATAATAATAAAAGTTTTTAAGTTTAAGTAACTTATAATTTTTGATCAATCATTTACTCTATAGTCTTAAGTTAGTTTACTTAAAACTTTGGTGGTCATCAGTTTCCACAAAAGCTTTGATTACTCCGAACTAATCGGGTTTTACAGTGTAGGCAAAACAACTAAAAGACACTGAGGTAAAGTTTGGCTGCCACAGCTATGTTATTGTGCTTTTAAATGTCATTTGCTTTTTTGTTTTAAATCACTTTCAAAACTGTAAATATTTTTGTTGTTTAGGAATTTTTTTCATGGTGGCAAGCTACCAACATTCCATTCTCCCAAGAGCATCCACATATTTCCCCACTGCAGCAAACAGTGTCAGCAGACTGAAAAATGAAAACACATTTTTAAAGGTTTTCAATAAACTGTGAGCTACGACAAACAACACATAAGTAACACATTTAAATATTTATTTTATTGCTGATTAAGAAAATTAACTAAAGGTTCAATAAAGTGTTGCTTTATTAATGCAATTGAATAAAGAAACAGAGCACTCTTTCTCTCTCTCCAGAAAGTTTCATCATTCAGTCATTCAGTCATTCAAATCCTTCTCTTGTCTCATCATCATTCAGGCCGCAGTGACACAGCGCTGTCTGCACACCTCAATGAGGAACATACAGCGACTAGGTAATATTTTCGGATGCCCTCATCCTGAACCTTGCCAGCTGTTCTGCCACTGCTAAAGAAGCCAAAAGATAAAAAGGAATTCTAATATGACAGGTTGGGGGAAAAGTAGCCAACGGCCTTTTCTTCTAATGGTGACTTAAGCACCGGCTCAGCCTGCCAATAGCAGGTCCTTAAACTGATGGTGAGGGTCCGATTTGTCACCGGCGTCACAAGTTAATTAGGCAAATGTCATGTGCTGCTCTCCTCCGGCAGACAACAGCCCGGCCCACACGCTGCGGAATAATATTGTTAACCGATCAAAATGGCTGACCTCATTAATTTTCCCAGACGTCTCCTGTCGTCAGCTCCAGGTGTGAGCGGGCCACAGCATGCCGCCTCACCCCTTCCCTCATCAGAGGCATTGGTACCTGCAGAAAAACTTGTGATATGTGACCTCCAAGTGTCACATGCAGTTGCTTCCACTTTTTGTCCATTTTCTTCTTTCACCCTGTCATGACTCACCTTCTGCTTTTCTGGAAGTGACCACATTGTCTGCACACGGTAATGAAATAATGACATTGTGACTAAGAGGAACATCTACTGCCATAAAGTGGTTTTAGGTTTGGTCTGGTGCTTTATTTGCCTAATTAGTCCTGAGAAACTTGTCTAGGAAAGTAGAAGTTGGGGGAAAGCATCTTAGTAATGCAAAAATGTGTATTGTTTTATGTCCTATCATATATACACATTATGTTGCATTGTTGGAGGAGCTTGGCACTTTTAAAAAGTCCTTAAACTTGCCTATTCTAGTAAGGGCAGAATATGAGCTATACGGCGGCCCAAATACAGCAGATATTGTAATTGGATTAGTTGACAGTCTGGAAAATATATCATATTCAAGCGATATCCTGAAAGCATTGACATATTCAGACATGGCCTAACTGTCCACCTGGCGGGACAATGGTGTGTGTGATCCATGCACCTGTTTTCACACCATGAGCTTTATAATAGTAGTGCCGGCTGCAGCAGAATGGTTGAAATCCGAGCAGTTTGCTCACTGATCGAGGGCTTAAGGAGTCACTGAGGTGTGTAAAACTCACCTTGCCTAGCATCTGCTCTCCATGTTCAGCACAGAGCTCATAAAGTGGATCTTTTGTCTGACGGCCCTGGTCTGTCAAATGAAAACGGGGCCCTGGCGCTGCGGTGGAAATGACTAACGTAATTCAATCTGGACGCCACAACAGCTTTTATGTCTGTGAGCGGCCGGTGAACACATCTGCAGGTTCCATCTCCGTGTAGCCCGGGCTAATTTGTTTGTCATTACTTGCTTGGCTTTCATCTGCAGGTTCTGTGGAAGTGTTTCTGGCAGCCCCGTCCTCCGTGTTAACGGAGCGTTCACAGCCTCTTCTGCAGATGCCACGTCGATCCTGTGACCCCGAACAGCATGCAACTGTCCGGTCTCATGAAAAAATAAACACAACGCCCTTCATTCTGTTTGAAACTGGGAAGACACACTTTTCCTGTGTCAGGCATTGCAAATGGGATCTGTCTGAGATGTTAATGACGTGTACGCAGTGTCAATAATCCTTAAACTGACAAGATCTTGGAGCTAATTGCAGAAATCCCTTATCATAATCAGAATCAGAATACCTTTATTGGTCCCACAGAGGGGACATTTACATTGTTACAGCAAAAACAAAACACTATTAGAAAGGGCATGCACATCATATTTAACATTTAAATGCCCAACTTTTATCTTTTATACTTTAATGTGTTGAATGCACTTTTTTATTATTTATAGGTAGGTTTTATGTTGGAATTCAGAAGACATTGTTATAAGGTAACCTGTAACCTTACAGGAAGAGGACCGCACTTGTTTTCTCATGCTGTCACTTTAAGAAGCTAATTAGCCTGTTAGCTGTTAGCTAAGAATCTAGCTAACATCAAAACTAGAATCTAGTTTGATGAAAAAAGTAAGTTCCCTCAAACATATGGATACACTGTGGTCATATTTTCACACTGTTTTCTATTTCTCTGTCAACTGCTGCTGAAGTGTGTTTTGGCCCACTGGTTGCGCTGAGTGGTTAAAGTTTCAATATTTACTTAATTATCCTTTTAATCACAGATAATGCTTTTTCCCAGAGCGTGCCAAGAGTCAATCCGTGAGCAAGTCTTCTGTCTGGCAGTTTGGCATTAAACTGATTTGTAGCTGTAATGATATTAGAGCAGTGCATAGGAATACAGTCCTAATTCATATCATCAAGTAAGCAGTATGAGTCAGAATACTACACTACAGATAAACATTAAATATTACACATTAAAGCCAAACTTACAAGAGTTCTAAGTGCTGAGGGTTGTACAAGATCTATAAAAGAAATGTATACTTTTTTGTTTTCAAAAGTAAATAGACTCAAGTTGTGAAGTTGCATACTAAGGCTCATTACAAATACATTTGACTTCAACTGAAACAGTGATTGGGAAATGACTGCTGTCACCGTGCAGGGACTTCTAATCGTATTCTACTCCGTGAGCACTTCTAAGATCACAAGTGTCAGAGCAGCACTGGGTTATACATTTCCAAAATGAGATGCGTCTGTAATTCAAAGTGCAGTGAAGATTTAGGAAATCTGTCGCTCAGCAGGGAGTCTTTAAAGAGCGGGAACTGAGCTGATGGGCACACTTTTTTATTATACACCAGTAATAAAACTCAGGGTACTGCAATCAGTTACTAAAAGGGGTCTTAGGGAAATATTGGAAATGTGCATATGTGCTATAAAGTGGTGAAGTGTAAAAATGTAAAAGTATTGTAATTAAGAACACATTTTGTATGTATTGATTTCTAGTAATCCAGGTTATTTGGCCAAAGTGCGTCACTTAAAGACGCAGTCCACCCACACATTGAAAAAGATGCATAGAAAGACTACTAAGTGACACAGAGAGTATCAGCATTCCCAACAAGACAAAACAACCACAGACACAAATAACTACAAAATAACTACAAAATATCACAAAGTCACAGAAAACAACTACAAAAAGAGACAACTCAAATATATAGCATTTGTATTTCTTGCTATTGGAGGAGATGGGGCCGTTGTGTCAGAGTCCTCCCCTTCTTGTCAAAAAGTCATAAAATATGAATCCTTATAAGTACAATTGTATGAAAATACTTCAAATAAATAAAACCTGATGCAGTGCATAACCTTTTAGGCGTACACGTAACGGTGCAAATCACCAACATCTTGCAAGAAACAGCGTCTGAGGGCTTCTTAACATTTAACAAACCATGAATATGTCATACTCACTTAAAGGTCCCATGTCATGCTTTTCCGGTTATTACCCGTCCCCTTGTGTGTTATGAAGGTTTTTCTGCATGTAAACGGTCTGCAGAGTCAAAAACCCTCAAAGTACACCCTGTAGCGAGTAAAACTCTAACACAGAAAAGACCTGTCTATGCTGCCCCAGAACGCCTCGTTGGAGATTTCTCATTTTCCAATGTTTTCTTCCTGGGTATCGCTACGTAGGGATACCCAGTAGCCACGCCCAGAGCTATGGCCGCACCCTCTGCCAGCCTTTCACGAAACAAAGCTTCCCAAACCTTTCAGCGATTCATGCCGGATATGTACAGCGTAGGGCACTGAAGAACGATGCTGTTCCTACTTTGTTTGGACCAGCGGGAGATTCGGGTACACAACCTGTAAGTATTCATTGTTGTTTGTGTATTTATGATGTTTAAAACAAACAAGGTATCTACCACGACTGTTTAAATGGGTAAACGTTTTTCGGGCTACTACGTTCAC